CACGAAAGGGTCGCCAAACTGTTTGCATGAAGTACTTATCCTCAGGCGGTTGCGTCTCAAAAAGCGAGGAACGGTGTGCATTCCCGAACCACGCCCATTTCCTACCGACAGAGCTACCTTCCGTCGTGCGAGATCATATCACCCAGCATCTCGGCGGGATCCGTGCCGAGCTTCGGCTATGAAGCTATCCGTTACCGGGTGGCCATGCTGGTGTTACCTCCTCGAAACCAGCGACTTCTTCTGTGAATGTCTGTATGTCGTCTCGTCAAGTCAAAGCGTTACCGTTGCTACTTCAAGGAGTTTGAGTACAATCGCAACCAGCTCCACAGATCAGCCTGCGACCGCGTGAGCCGATTTTTCGGGTCACTCCAGGCACCGTATCTGCCGTTCTCAGCACTCTACAGACTCGATTGCACGAGCAACAGCTCGTCCGCTGCAATCAGCTCCGTGAGGCCTTTTGCTCCGCTTCCATTCGGTTCCCGAAGAACATCACTGATGCGATTATGTCGGGCGATTCGTCCGGCCTAATTGACCGCACAATATTGTCCAGTTTGTCTCGCCTAGTGGAAAAGCTGCAGTTGACCCTGACGGAAACAATCCGTCTATGGCGGAACGAGTCGCCAGAAGACCGGCGACCAAACAAGTCCATGGACCCCACTTGGCTGGACATTTTACTCCATGGATATCGTCACCGTCACTGTGCCGTTGCCGTAGCCACATTTGGTGTCTCCCACAACTTCACAGGTCCACGATCCCCCGACACTGAGCCTGCTCGAAATCACGCCAGCGCTCGAGACTTCAATCGTGCACTCTTACGCAGCATTGGGGACGGGCAGACTCAAGGAACTTATCTAGTGCTCGATCTCCCTGTTGCTCTTCGATGGTCAGCTCTTCGTTTCAGCCCTTTTGGCTGCGTTCCTAAAAAGGACGTCAACCCGACAGAATGTGCTCGATTAATTCACGATTTATCGTACCCAGAGGACTCATCGATTAACCATTGCTCGACGCAATCAAAGCTACCTGATCTCAACTATGAGTCCGTGCGGCGCATTGCCCGTAGGATCGAAGAGCTCGCGGAGCGGCACCCAACGCTGAAGATTAAACTACTCAAAGGGGATGTGAAGACTGCCTTTCGGCTCATTGCCGTTGCAACCAGCCTTGCTGCTCACTTTGCTGGCTCAATGGGTGATCTTGCAGTGATTGATCTGGCACTTCCTTTCGGTTGGACTGGTTCACCTCCATTTTACGGAGTGTTCGGGGAAGGCATGTCGTTTCTCGTGGCCCGGGAGAGCCCACATTCTCTGGATCCCTCTGACGCTGACTAGGAACCGTTCTTCTCTTTCGTGTGGGTAGACGACCACATCCTCCTGGAGGTGGACAAAGGAAATCGTCTCGCACTGGCAGAAGCTGCTCTTCAACTCAGTATGCTCGCTGTTCTCGGCCCCAACGCCATCAACGAAAAGAAGTTTTCACCGTGGGCGACCAATCTCGACGTTCTTGGATTATCATGGGATACTCAAGAACGGACCATCTCGATGCCGCCTGACAAAGTGCAAAAGAGCCTTAACTCGAATTGCAAAGGCTCTTGAATCGGACCTGGTATCTCGTCATCAACTGGAAAACTACTTGGCTCGTTGCGGTACATGTGTCTGTGCTGTCGATCGGCGCGGACGTTCGTCCAGCGTTTACACCAGGCATGCCTTCGCACGCGTCGGTTCCAGCGCATCCGTCTGACCGCCGAGATTCTCCAAGATCTCCGTTGGGTCGAATGTCTCTTACCAAATGGCGCGGCGAACAAAGTGTCCACAAGCGTCGTGGCCAACACACTGAAGCCTTCCGTGCACCTGTTTATGGACGCCTGTGATGAAGGGCTCTGCGTCCTCTACCCTGCAGCTCGCGAATATTTTAGAATACACTTCGACGCACAAGAGATTCACGCGGTCAAGTCCGCGACGGCCGACAAATCAGCGTGGTTCAGCATCAACGTTCGTGATGCTCTGGGCGCGGTCCTTGCAATTCTTTTATGAGGTCCTCGATGGTCAGCGCATATCCGGGGGAACAAGCAGTGGTGTCAATTCTGCAACAGGCGTGGAATTTCCTGTTGGCTCCCAGCCCACAACCCAGCTCAACAATCCCTACTGCTTATTACTTTCGCAGTTGAAAGCTGGAACACGTCGAACAATATGACCCCCAACCGCTTCGAGACCGTACGGGCCAAGATCAGTCATGTTCGATGGTGTCATCAAGCCTGCGCCGGCTTCCGACCATCTATCCAGCCTCAGCACGAGCTGGTCTTACGCGGAATTCGACGTCTTAGTCCACCCCGACGTCAACGAGCCGCCGTCACCATCCCCAAGCTTCAAGCAATCGCAAAGGCAGCACATTTCTCCGTCGCCCAGCACCGCGTCATTTGGGGGGCTGCGGTGTTGGGCTTCTTCTTCTGTTTGAGAGGGGCGGAGTATTTAACATCTCGAGGAAGATTCAACGGCTACTGCCTACAAGTTCGAGACGTTGAACTGCTCGACAGTGTTGGATTACCTACAAGCAGCTTCAAGGCAGCGTCATCCGTCGAAATCGCACTCCGAGGAAGCAAAACAGACCAAGTTGGGCAATCATCAAAACGCGTCCTACTAACAAGTGATCAAGCGCCTGTCTGTCCGGTTTTCGCGGCACTTCTTTTGAAGCGCAACGCGCGAGCACTACGACTGCCACCAGATCAACCGTTCTGCTCAACAAGCCAGGGAAGAGCTTTGTCGTCCGAAACGATGACACGAGTACTTCGAAGTGCAGCTACACAATGCGGTGAAGTGCCAAGCGGAATATCTGCACACTCGTTGCGCACTGGAGGAGCTACAGCGATGCATTCCGCCGGATTCGACGCAGATACTATACGTATGCACAGCAGATGGTCCTCCAATGCGTATCAAGCCTAACTCCGACAGGCTCCTGCTTCTCGACTTCAATTGGCCAAACTCATGGGGCATGCGCTCGCGAGTAACCATCATCTACCCGACCATCTTATGGGGCAACATGAGCACTAGTGCTCAAGTGGTCGGGTAAATAAATGATCGCGATTTGCACCCCACGCTGCATTACGACGGGTTGAAGGAAACTCTTCAATTGTCCGCCAGAGATCAACGAATGCATGAGAGACAAGCATCGTTTTGATATTTACTCGAGATTTGTCACTTCTTAAACATGTTTGATGTCCATGAAATTCCATATGGAATGGACCAGCTTTGCGATATGTTCTCTTTTGGTTTTGCTCCATGATCGCTTTGTATGTTATAGCAAATGAATTATTTCTCAAAGATGTCAATCTCAAGCGTTTTGTCACTGCCAGAAGGAGTGAAATCTCCATGAAAT